CTACTTAGATGTATAACTATTGGACTGGATGGGTAAAACTGAGCTAGATCATACTTATTACTTCTGATCACTTTGCTGCCTTTATTTATTTATTTATTTATTTATTTATTTATTTATTTATTTATTTATTACAAAATTGCATAGCTTTTTTTCTTTTGTTAGGTAGGGACTTCTAGTGCAGACTGAATATATTCCATTAATACAGGTGCCATGCTATGCTGTTGTTTATGTGCTTCTGTTGCTAAATTCTGCTTTCACTGTGCAGATTTTGAACTAATTACACACAATGCATGTCTTAGTGATAATTGGTCTCTGTTTTTTAGATTTATTTTTCTTTTTTCACAATGAACACGTTACACTCTTGCTGAAATCATTAGTAAGTGAGTTATTTAGAAAGCATGAATTATTCAACAGTAACCATAAAATAATATTGGGCTGGCTTTTGTATGTGTTTGTTTGTAATTAACATATTAAAAATGATGTCTGAGGTTTTTTTTTTCCTTTCATTTTTGTATGGAATTATTATACACAGGGTGCTATCACCTCCAATGTACATAATTAAAATTACACAGCAAAAACAAAAGCTGGCGGCTGTGGAGGGTGGGGGTGGGGGGTAATCTTTTTGTGATTTTTTATCATCTCTTTTATGGATTTTAAGTCGCATATCAGCTTCTAAAATACCTGACAGTTTTCAGCAGGAGCCTAAATAATCTCAGAAATCTCCAAGAAGGTGATGATTTGCGTGAATAAGACCATATTTTTTCTGAATTACACAAGCATTTCTTTTCTTAAAAAATACATTTGTTGTTAAATTCTCTTCTTATTGAACTTGCTTCCATTCCTCTATCATAAGCGCTAGGGTTGTGTGTTAGTGGTCAGGATTTTGTTAACCTTTTTTAGAAGAAAAAATTGCTTTAAATGCAAATATAGACAGACTCTAGAGTACAAAATGAATCTGGAAAATCTCCTTGCTAATTAATCATGTAAGAGATGAAACCCAGTGCTGTTAGTCACACAAATAGAGGTCCTCCCTTCCATTTCTCTTTTTTTTTCCCTCTTGGTTAAAAATACCAGTAAGCTGGCAGACAAAGAGCTATAAGCACAATGAGCCTGTGGTAGAGCCTGCCACCCACTCCCAATTCTCTGTCTTCCCAGCATTCCAGTGTGATCATCTCTCCCTTGTTTCCGCTATTCCTGTTTGGAACAATGCTGATTCTGTGTAATTCTGTCAGATGGGTTAATTTTCTTCCACATGAACAAAAGTGCGAGAGCTTTTAAGGTTGACAAAACAGGACTACAGTATTTGCTGATGGGGATTTTAAACATAATTTGATTCCAAGTTTTATAGAGAAAACTTAGTATAACTGTTAGATCCTTTAAAGCAATGAAGCAAAAACAAACAAACAAACAAACAAACAAACAAACAAACAAACAAACAAACAAACAAACAAACAAACAAACAAACAAACAAACAAAAACTAGACAAAACAAACAAAGAAAACAAACAAACATACAACAAACATTGTTTGTTCAATGCATTCATTTCCAGTTGACTGGATCACTATAATGGATTACTTCATTTTCTACTAAAAAAATACAATTCAACAGCTCCAGCTGGTCCAGAATACAGCTGAAAGTCTTAACAAAGACCAAGAAATTTCAGCATTTAACTCCTGTTATTCAGTCCCTCCAGTGGTTACCTTTTTTTCCCCAGAATATATTACTAAGTACTCCTTCTTGTCCATTAATTACTGAGCAGTTTAGCTCTGCAGTAATGCTCAGATCATTTTTATGAACCACCCAGACATCTCAGATAAGCAAACACAGGATTRTTAGTTGTTCCACGAACCAGAACCAAACCTGCTGAAGCTGCTTTAGTTTTATGAACCTCACCTGTGGAATGAACTACCTGAGGAACTCAGACTTGAGTCTTTCTTGACCTTATTTAAATCTAAATTAGACATTCTTGTTTGCTTTTGCTTTTAAATAACTAGTCTTAAAACTATTAGTGCTTTTAATAATTGTTTTAAATGCTTTAATATTGAATCTGGGTGTGTTTGTGTATATGTGTGTTTGTTGATAGGTAGTTTTTTCCAGGTTCATATTAACTTGTTTTTTTATTCTGTAAAGCACCTTGAGTTGCCTTCTGGTATAAAATGGGCTATCCAAATAATAATAATAATAATAATAATAAT